AAGCCTGAATTTGGAGGAAGTCTCAGGCGGGAGCCTCGTCTGTGAGTGAATTCTGAGGAAGGCTCAGGCGGGAGCCCCCTCCCTATGGGGCCCGCAGATCATGTTGGTAATCCGAGCGGGTCATCGGAACCTGTAACTGTCGTCACTTTTGGGCTCGTCAAGCCTGAATTTGGAGGAAGTCTCAGGCGGGAGCCTCGTCTCTGAGTGAATTGTGAGGAAGTCTCAGGCGGGAGCCCCCTCCCTATGGGGCCCGCAGATCATGTTGGTAATCCGAGCGGGTCATCGGAACCCTGTAACTGTCGTCACTTTTGGGCTCCTCAAGCCTGAATTGGAGGAAGTCTCAGGCGGGAGCCTCGTCTGTGAGTGAATTGTGAGGAAGTCTCAGGCGGGAGCCCCCTCCCTATGGGGCCCGCAGATCATGTTGGTAATCCGAGCGGGTCATCGGAACCCTGTAACTGTCGTCACTTTTGGGCTCCTCAAGCCTGAATATGGAGGAAGTCTCAGGCGGGAGCCTCGTCTGTGAGTGAACTGCGAGGAAGTCTCAGGCGGGAGATCGAGGCGCGGGCGCGGAGCTTGCTGATGTTCAGGCCCAGCGAAAGGGAGTTCACATGGCAGAGCTCGGGGGCGCACAGCGTGCGCCGCTCGGGGTTCACCCTGACGCACGCGTCCTACCTGACCTCCACGCTGTCGCAGGGCCAGACGCTGCGCAAGGGCGTCACCATCGACTGCGCGAGAGACGAGGACGCTGGCCGCACGGGCATGTCGGACGAGCAGTGGTGGCTGCACCTCTACGTCATGTTCTCCCGCGCCACGTGCATGCGGAACATGCTGATCCTGCGGCCGCCGCCGCGAGAGTTCCTGGAGTGCGGGCCGCCGGCGTCCCTGCGGAAGGCGCTCCTGGAGTTCGACAAGAGAGCGGTTTTGTCCAGGGCGGAGGCGAAGCAGCTCGCGGCAGAGCTGGGCTTCGTGCTGCCTTCCGCCTGAGCGCGGCTGCGCCTCGCTCGAAGCCCGCGGGGTTGTCCCAACGGCTTGGTCTTGCGCGCCAGCGGCTCGCGGGGTTGTCCCGACAGCCTGGCCCGCGGGGTTGTCCCAACGGCTGCGCGACGTGACCAGTAGAGAACGCGCCTGTGCTGGCCGTGGCGGCGACGGCGCCGAGGAACATCGACATGCGCGCTCATGCAACAGGAAGGGGAGGAGGTGGCGGGGCGCGGAACAAACAGGGGGGCGAGGATGGGGACAACGTAAGGAGTGGAAGGGGGGCCCGCGCCAAGGCGAGAGGAAATATACGCAGAAGAGACAGCCAGGACGCCTCACCAACCACGAGGACGACGGTGATGGCTTTTTCCAGATTCGCCCAGAGGATTCTTATGTGGGGTTCTTCCGTCGGAGTAATTTTTCATACTTTGTTGAGGATGTCTCGAGCGAAACGCTGGTTTTGCAACGTGGGGGAATGTCTCGAGCGGGGGCCTCGTGGGGGGGCAGAAGTCAGAGGATATCTTAGGCAGCATGCTTGTTTTCACGACCCGTTCGCAGGAATTCCGAGGAAGTCTCGCGCGTGCAGCGTCCCGCGCGCAGGAATTTCGAGGATGTCTCTACTCATTCGTTTGCTTTGCCAGCATTTCCTTGAAGTTTGGCAGGATGTCTCGAGCGAGACGCTTTTTATTCATACTTTGTTGAGGACGTCTCGAGCGAAACGCTGGTTTTGCAAAATTGGGATGTCTCGAGCGGGGGCCTCGTGGGGGGCCAGAAGCCAGAGGATGTCTCAGGCGAAATGCTTGTTTTCACGTCCCGCTCGCAGGAATTCAGAGGATGTCTCGCGCGTGCCGCGTCTCGCGCGTCCCCTTGGCATGTCCCGCGGTGCGTCCCCATGGCACGTCCCTTGGCACGTCGCTGCGCGCGTCCCTTGAGACGTTCTGCGTCGCGTCCTCCTGGCATGTCCCCCTGTCGATTAGCTCTGGGGCAGCTATCATGTGTTCAGGCAGCTCGAGCTTAAGATCCAGATCAGTTCGGTCAGGACTCGGATGCAACGGAGGACTCGATCCACGAGGCTATAGAGCACAATTGCGGCATGGCACATCGCAATTCAGCACGGCGCAGCACAACACATATTTCGGCACGGTACATCAATATCGATAAACTCAGCATTGCAACTTGGCACGTTCCTTGGCACGTTCCTTGGCACGTTGGGTGTCCCTTGGCGAGTCCCCCTGGCACGTCGCGTGGCGCGTCCCCTGGCACATCCCGTGGCACATCCATTGGCACGTTCCGTAGCGCGTCCCCTTGGCACGTCCCGCGGTGCGACCCCATGGCACGTCCCCTGGCACGTCGCCTGGCGCATCCCTTGGGACGTTTCGCGGCGCGTCCTCCTGGCATGTTCCCCTGCCCAATAGCTCTGGGGCAGCTACTATGTGTTCAGGAAGCTCGAGCTTAAGATCCAGATCAGTTCGGTCAGGAGTCGGATGCAAAGGAGGACTCGAATCACGACGCTATAGAGCACAATCGCGCCATGGCACATCGCAATTCAGCACGGTGCAGCACAGCACAGCCCTCGGCAGGGTACATCAAGATCGACACCTTCAGCATTGCATTTGCCCGTCACCCAATCAGGTGTCTTTTAGAACGCTTCCATGTGTTACAGTTCTATACTCCTTTTTGGGTTCGTGGGTCGATCATGTTTGCCTTTCTGGCGCACACATCACACGAGCCCCACCCAATGCCCCCGTGGGAACATCTGTATGCGCTTCCCCTTTACATTTAGGCATGTACCCCCCCGTCCATGTTGCGTGTTTTTTTGTGAGCTCCACTTGCGGCCCCAGTTGGACAGTTTGCCTGGGCCCACCCGCTGACGTTGGCACACAGTTAACTCCCGTTGTGTGTGAAGAGGACCGTCGCCGAGCTACAACATCTGCTCATAGTTGAGTCTCTCGCTGGACTAGTTCTTCCTCCAGGTTTCAGTTTCGAAGGCAGGTTTCAACATGGCAGGCGCTTCTTCATCATGCCATTTTTCTTTTTCCTGGCGTGCGAGGCCAGGGCCGTCGTCAGTTTCAATTGTGATTGTACTTTTTGGACAACTGGCACACTTTGATTCATCCTGGTGCAGGAGCGTGAGGAGCATATTGGGTCACACGGGGCATCCGGGTCGTTATTCGTCGTGGTGCCACGAGTTTATATTTGACAGGTTCTTTCAGGCGTCCGGTATGGAGTGGACGGAGATCGCCAAGGACAGGCGGCTTCGCAGTGGTATCGCGAGGGGTGGATTCAATGCATGTTGAGAGGTGACAGGGCTAGTCGGTAGTGGGCGTTTTATGTCTAGTGTGTGAGATTGCTACCTTGGTCTCGTGCGTTGGGTCATGTGTACTCAGGAGCAGCTTTGCGTCGCAGCTGAGCACAACAACAACAGCAACGTGTGACGCAAACGTGCTCGCGCGCACGCGCGCGCGCACGCATGCGCCGACGTACCTGGCGAATGTACGATTTTCTCACCTGGCGAACGCACGATTTCCTCAAGGCAAGTTTCGGCTACGCATTCGGCAACAATTACCCGTCGATCTTTTCGGACGGGCAGGGAGCTTCGTGTGTATGGTCGGCTGTCGTGCGCTTGCGCATTTTTCTTTGCTTCATACTGCCGCGTACAAGCAAACGATCTAGGGCTGTTATCTGAACGTGTTGTTGAGATGTCTGCGGCAAGCCCCCCCACCACCGTGGCAGCTCAGCCCGTCGGGTGGCAAAACTCAGAACACCGCAGGCCGCTTTCAATTTTTGATGAGCTCTCACGGAGCTCGTTTCGGCCATCTTGGGGCCGTCTTGGGCTCCTATTGGGGCAGTCTTGGGGGTCCCCTCGGGCCTTCTCGGGCCATCTTTGGGCCCTCTTGGGCCGTCTTGGGCATTTCCTGGGGCGTCTTGAGACCATACTGGCCGTACATGGCGTCTCTTGGGGCCGTCGTGGGGACCCCTTGGGGCCGTCTTGGCCCTCCGCGGGTCCCTTTGGGGCCATCTCGGGTCCCTCGGAGCTCTCGTGGACCAGCTTGGGGCTCTGCCGTCATGTGCCATCTAGGCGCCCTGCTGGGCTGCCTTGGGGCAGTCTTGGAGAATTATCCGGTCGTTCTGGAGCTTTCTTTGTCTGCCTTGGGGCCAGCTCGGAGGCCTTTGTACCCTCTAGAGCTACAGGAGGCCCGAAAAGTCGAAGACGACCACATGAACAACAGAATTAACAACACATCAACGACCGTGGGATCTGCGAGGCCTACTGGGAGTCCACTGGTTGCCCTCTTGGGCCGTCTTGGGGACGTCTTGGGTCGTGCTGAGGCTATATTGAGCCAGCTCGGGGCCATCTTGGGTCGTTATGGAAGCCCGGGGGCGCGGATCCGCTTCTCTGTACATGGAATCCTGGCCCTGGGAGCGCGTATCCATATGGGGAGGCGGTGCACGCAGCCAATTCTTGAAAGGGGGGCCTCGTAGAAGATTGCAGGACAGCCCTGACAGGCAGTCATTGACATTCCACCACGCCTCAAACTGTCAGGAGGCACGTTGGCGGGCATGGGCGTGGAAGTCACGGCGGAAGTAACGCAACGAACCCACACCCATGATGGCATATTGCAAACGCGTCTTCCCTGAGGTGCCCCTCTCATTATGCTTCATACTAGCTCCCACGGTGCCACCATGGCGCTCCCGTGTGGCACCCTCGCGCCACCCTGGACAGTGCTGCCCCAGTGCCGTCATAGTCCATTTGAGTATCTTCCACTGCCGTGCACTATTCACGCACCACTGTTGCGGCACACCTGCAGCACACGCAGCATGTCCCATTTTATATCTGTAAAATTATCGCTCCCGTACCTGCCAGTAATCTTTCACGTCCCCCCAGTCTTGTTGCGACATCGCAGCGAGCACTGTGAGAAATCACCCCGCCAGTATCGTATTTTTCCTCCCGCAGTCCTCCCGCAGTGCTCGGAGATTCCGACGCATGTCCAACAAGCGAACCGCCAATGTACTGCCCCCCCCCGAATGACTGTCAGAGTACATGTGCGCCCTACCGATCGTCAGAGTATGCAGGGTACTGGGTTTGCTGGTCCCCCGCGGGGTGGAGGTTCGGGTGTGGCGTCGACGGGCGCTTGTCCGAAGAGAAGGCCAGGTCCAGGTGCCCATGCCCGAACGAGGCAGGGGCCGCAACTGGCAGGGGACAGCGTCTGCGCGTTCGACATGCGACACACTCGCTGAACCATTTGACTGCTCGCACGCTGGTGCGCTTGCTCGGGTGCGTCCTGGTCTGCTGGCATGCTCGCGTGCCAGTGAGCTTGTCCACAGTCCTTGGCTCAAGGCGCGATGCTGTCCATTCCTGCCCTGAGGGAACTCGAGGACCTGCATCTATGCAGCCCCAAGAGCAGCCCCGCGGGCGGCGACCTTGCGCGCCAGTGCACCGCGGCCTTGGAGAAATTGGGCGCAGGTCAGCATCGTCTGACCCATCCCCATCCCCACTTGGCCGTGGTCTCTCAGCCCCCCAGCCCACCCACCCAAGTCGGGATAGGCCCCGCGAGACCCGAAGGAGCAAGCACATCCCCCCACTTGCGTCGGTGAGTCGGCCAGGGGGTCCAGGGCCACGCCAGTGGGGATAGGGATCGGTTGAGCGGTGCTCACCAGGGCGTTGTGGTGAGCGCGAAGAGGCAGCCAACAGGCTGGCGAACATGGGCGCAATCGCTGTGCCCCACGCCGCTGCCATCGCCCTCGCGCTCGCCGAGGACGGCGAGTGGCGGGTCCGCCTCGCCTGTGCGAGGGCGCTGGGTAGCCTCGGCTCCGTGTCCGGAGTGGCCGGCAGCCACGGCGCCGCCGCGCTCGTGGCCGCGCTCGCCGACGGGAGCGACGAGGTCTGGAGGAGGAATTCGTACAGACCCCGCTGCCATTGCGCCCCGTTTTCGCCTTCTCGGGCCTCCTGAGGGGCCCTGATTAGTCACCGCTGCAGGTTTCTCCCCAGAGTTCAGGGTCGGCACTCTGGGAGAGGCCTGGGGAGCAGCGGTTTCGGTGCCTCCTGTGTCCCTGGAGGAGGAGGAGGAGCAGGAGGAGGAGGAGGAGGAGGAGGAGGAGAGGAGGGGGAGGAGGAGGAGGAGGAGGAGGAGAAGGAGAAGGAGAAGGAGAAGGAGAAGGGGAGAAGGAGGAGGAGAGGAGGAGGGCGTATGGAGGAGGAGGAGGAGGAGGAGGAGGCGGATGAGGAGGGGGGCAGGAAGGCGAGGAGGAGGAGTCTAGGAGGAGGAGGAGGAGGAGGAGGAGGTGGAGGAGGAGGAGGAGGAGGAGGAAGACAATTAATAATAATTATACGAATGCTAATAAAAAGACTAAGTATAATCAGACTAATAATAATACTAATAAGACTACTAATATAATATTTTTAAGAAGAAGACGCATACTAACAATCATACTAATACGGACAATACGAAGGATACTGATACTGATATTAGGAATACCAAGAAGACGCAGCATACCAATCATGACAATCTATATAGTATGAATAATAATATTAAGAATGCGAATAATGATAATACTAATAATACTAATTATATTACGAATATGAGTAATACTAGTACCAATAAATATACTATTAAGAATAATGATACTAAGAATAATACTACGAATAATAATAAGACGAATAACACGAATAATAATACTACTAAGAATAATATTACGAATAGTAAGAATAACAGCAGTCATACTAAGAAGACTAATAAGAATACTAGTGCGTAGAAGAATAATAAGAATAAATAATGAGAAGACTCTGAATAATAATAAGAATAATAAGCGGACTAAGGAGGAATGAGGAGGAGGAGGAGGAGGAGGAGGAGGAGGAGGGAGGAGGAAGGAG